TATATATATATATATATATATATATATATATACGTACAGTTTCCGCTCAACTCTTGGAAACGGCTCATAAGGCTTTATATATTGGTTTATATAGTTATATTTTTTTCCAAGATTTACAGTCGTAGAAAATGTAATATTATTGATGATAGTAAAACATTTCAAGATGCGTTATATTTTTGTAGAAATTATTACATATGAGTGAACTAAAAGAATTTAAAAGTTATTTGAATATTGAAAGTTATTAGTATTATATTTTGTATTTAATAATTTTATTTTATATTTTTATTATATATTTTTATTTTGTAAATTATGACAAAAATCTACATTTTTCAGACATAATCTCAAAATATTTAATTTATCAGTTTATTCATCAGTTTGAATAAAGATAGAAGATTATAATAGATTATAAAAATAAAAATTGTAAAGATAGAACATTAAAACCAATAAAAATTTATTGAGAAAAATAAAAATTATGATTAAATATTAAAAAGAAAACGAAAATTGGATTTTTTACTTTATAACTCCGATTGATATTTGTTTGATAGTATATTGAGAGTTGTAATATTTTCATATTAAGATAGATGTATTTGCAGTACAATACGGTAGTGGAGCTGCAAGTGCTATAAAAAAAGAAAAAGATAGTATTGAAGAGATAGGCAGCAATAATAGAAAAAGGTGCAACAGCGACACCGGTAACACTGTTGACGCCGCCACTACCGCCGCAGACACCGACAGCACAACTGACGACGACGACGACGACAACAACACCGCCGGACGCTACAGCGATACCGACAGCGTAACTAGCAATAACGACAACAACGCCAATCAGGCCGGTGAGGATGATAATACTAATAACAATTAAAATTATGTAATTTTACGGGCGGAAAACTCGCGTAGATTTAAAAAATTCGGGATAATAGGGAGAGAGGCGATGTTCGAAATCCGCGAAATTTGACCGGGCGCTGAATTAGTAGAATGGGTGGAAGGTGCATTTCGCGAAATCCACAGATACGCGACAAATTTATCGGGGCCGAATGATTGCGTTGAGGTGTAGTTCGAGACCCCGACTTTAATTAACGGTGCAGTAGGTCTCTCTTCCCGTCTTGCGCGCGACCTGACTCATGAGAATATTTGGTCTTTCGTGAGTTCAGTTGCACAAAGCAACGGAGGGATAAACATTGCTGCATCGTTTACGATTCGCGTATGCACCGTTCACTCTCTACCGGGAGAAGGCCGTCCTCTGGACGAGGAAGCAATCGGAAAACGCTCGATTCTTACAATAACAAACCGTGACAATCTTTGCTTCCTCCGCTCACTCGTTGCCGCACGAGTATACCTCAAGCAAGATATCGCTCGTACGGGCAAGCTGCATGAGCGCTGGAATGCAATAAAACGCTCAAACTCCTCCTTACAGCGCCAATGGGCACGGGAGTTGGTGAAGAGAGCGAGCGTCTCAATTCCGGAGGAGGGATACGGTATTGGGGAAATCGAGCGTTTTCAGCATTACCTTGCCGTCGAAAGAATAGCCATAATTGTATATAGCTTGTCTACTTTTGCAAAAAACAGAAAACCGTTGTATGACGGTAGCGCGCTGCTCGCCTCTCTCCGACGCGAATCTTTGCTACGTTTAAATATTCTCTATTGCGAGGATTCGCGTCACTATTCCCCGATATTAAATTTAAGAGCGGCAGCGGGGAATAAGGAATACTTCATTCCTTGCGACTTGCCTTGTTGTCCCGGACGAGGAATTCATCGCTGTTCGCATAAATGTCCACGTTGTCGCGGTGTGCCGTCGTGCGATTCGTGAGAGATAGAATTAATTAGATGCGAGCGATGCAGAAGAACGTTTTACGGATGCGAGTGTCTCGAACGAGCCGAAAAATTATACGGAGATGAGCAGGTGAGCGTGTGCAGCGCCTTGCAATTCTGTGACAATTGCGGGCGAGTGTACAAAACAGCGGGTGCGAGGCACAAATGCGGCGTTGTGTTTTGCAACATTTGCAGTTCGCGCCGAGAGGTGAATAATTTTGGTATCAATGAAAGTTCACATGCCGACTCTCTGCGTCGCGCAGCAGATTTGCGTCACGTGCGCGAATGAGGACAACATGACGGTGCGTTGTCGGTGGTGCGGTGTGCGCGAATTTGTGTTTCGCGATAATCCGGTGAAGCAATTCGTCGATTTCGCTACGAAAACGACGAAATGTTTCAAGCAGATCATCTGCATCGCGCACACCGCCAAGGCGTTCGACGCGCAGTTCATCCTGCGTTACATTGCGGAAAAACGCGTCGAATTAGATCCGCAAGTAAAATTAAACGGGACAAAGATCATCGCATTAACGGTCGGGCGTACAAAATTTATTGACAGCATCAATTACATGCCGATGCGTTTGTCAGATTTGCCAAAAGTTTTTGGTTTGCGAGATGGTGTAAAGAAAAGATATTTTCCACATTAATTTAACACTCTCGCAAATTAATCGTACGTCGGTCCGTTACCATCTGTTGAATATTATTTGCCCGACAGTATGTCTAGCAAAGAACGCAAGCGCGTTTTATCGTGGCACGCGGAACAGACACGCGAAAACGCAGTCTTTGATTTCCAACGCAAGATAGTGCATTATTGTCGTAACAACGTCAACATCCTGCGACAAATGTGCATGGCCTTCCGCAAGATATTTCTCGAGCAAAGAAGCGTATGTCCGTTCGAAGAGTGCACGACCATCACTTTCACGTTTATGCGTGTTTTCCGTAAAAACTTTTTACGCGAGAAAGAGATAGACGTCATTCCCCGCGGCGGATATCGTCTCGCAGATACGCAATCTCGCAAAGCTCTGCAGTGGCTGGTGTGGAAGGAGCGCGAGCTCGGCCGCACCATTGTTCACGCAGGGCATGGGCGAGAACAGCGTCTCGCGGAAATCGGTGGCATTCCCGTCGACGGATATTACGAGACGACGACGACAACGACGACGAACGGAGAGCGTCACGTGTTGCAATATCACGGTTGCTTTCGGCATGGTTGTTCCGCATGTTTCAAAACAGAGCGNGACAAACGTCTCTGTACGGGAGATCGCAAAGTTCACGATACGATGAATTCGCGATACGAGCGCACGCCAACAATGTCATGGCGTCTTCGCAAGCGGGGCTACATTGTGACGGAGAAATTGGAGTGCGCTTTTGATCGCGATATGCGGGAAAATCGGGAAATGCGAGCATATGTAGAACAACATTCGATGCTCGCAGCTGAACCACTCTCATCTCGCGACGCGTTTTTCGGCGGTCAAACGGGAAACATTGCAATTCGGCGCGAAGTTACGGAGGGTACGGAGAAAATACATTACGTAGACGTGTGTTCTCTATACCCTTACGTGTTGAAAACCGGTGCTTTTCCGATTGGACATCCGAAAATTCTGGTCAGGGAGAAAGAATGCGCTTGGCTCATTGGAGCGATGCCCGGTGTCGATTTTTTTACGGTCGAGGGGCTTGTGCGTTGTAGAGTGCTCCCCCCGCGCAATCTCTTTCACTCTGTACTCTCGTACCGCGTGCAGAGCAAACTGCTGTTCGCTTTGTGTCGCAGTTGCTGCGAAAACTTCTCGCAGACTCCGTGCTTGCACGATAATCCGCGCGATCGCGAATTCACGGGCATATGGGTATCGTCCGAATTACGCAAAGCTGTAGAGAAAGGCTATCTCGTGACCGCGGTAAGCGAGATATGCCAATACAAAATGAGCCGATATGATCCCGGCACGCGCCGGGGGGTATATTCGCCGAATACATCAACTGCTTCCTCAAATTAAAGCAAGAGGCGAGCGGATGGCCAAACAAATGCGTGGATAAAGTATCTAAAGAGCGATACCTTCGAGAATACAAAGCAGTCGAGGGTATTGCTCTAGATAGAGAAAACATTGCGCAAAATCCGGGTTTACGCTCGGTCGCGAAGCTCTGTCTCAATTGGTTTTGGGGAAACTTCGGCCAACGATCGAACCTGACGTGTACCGAGGTGGTGAAGTCACAGGAACGCCTCGTATCGCTATTGTCGAGCCCTGAGCACGAGGTAACCGATATATTACCTGTGAATGACGAAATAATATATGTTTCGTGGCGAATGCGGGACGAGGCGGTCGTACCCTCTCCGATTACCAACGTCGTAATAGCGGCATACACGACGGCACAGGCGCGATTAAAACTGTACGAATATTTAGAACGTTTAGGCGAGCGCGTTCTTTATTACAATACAGATTTGTGTATTTATGTGAGCAGCGGTAAACCCGGCGAATACAAACCGCGTACAGGAAATTTCTTGGGCGACATGCCGGGCAAACTCAAAGGCTACGGGCGCGGTAGTTACATCGAATCGTTTGTATCCGGTGGCCCGAAATTTTACGCGTACGTAAACGCGTAAACTTTTAGCGTACTTATTATATGCGCTATTAAATACTAGTACGCGTAGTACAAACTACGTAACGTAGTTCGTACTCCGGACGTTAGCGCGAGGTAGGTATGTAAAACCAAGGGAATAACCCTTAATTCCGCATCCTCCCGCATAAGTAATTTTAACAGCGGTAGGGAAATGTTGATGCAAAGAAAAAAAACAAGGAGAAAATAATCTATCGATAAATCTACATTTTAGGGAATTTTCGCTGTACCGCGTCTCACAAAGTTGTGAGGCAGGACAAATCAAAAACCTGCTCGCCGATTGTGCTGAAACGTAGATTTATTGACAAACAACGCTCCGTTCCGTCTAGTTATTTAGAATAAAACTTTTTTCTTTCCGCGCGTCAACATTTTTGTAAATAAATACATTATATAATGTAACCATATTAATAATGTAACGTCGTAATTAAATGACAGTTAAATCTCGGCGTTACTGCCGAGGCCGACGACCCGCCTCGGCACAAAAAACCGGCGCTGTGCGCCAAAATAATAATATCAGCTGCGAGCATTGCCGATACGGCCTTACCGCGCCCGCACCGCGCGCTGCGTCGCGCCACGAAGCTAGGCGCCGCTCTCACCGCGCAGACCCCGAGCCACAAAGCAATACGCGCACCGCCCGCGCCGCGCGACCCACCACGCCACGAAGCGATAAGGAAACGCGAATTGCGTTGCGTTTTTCCCGTCTTAGCGAAAGACGGGGGCGAAATACCGTTTTCAGGGGAAACCTAGGGGTATAAAAGAAGGCCCTCGAGCATCTAGCGAGCAGAACCTTCCCGGCTACAATAGCAACGGGGTCGAAAAGCCCGGTCGAGAGTCTCGACGATCGAAAGCCACTGGGAAATACGTCTCTCTGCCGAGTGTCTCGGCTATCCTGTTCCGGCACCGGGAGATCCGTCTCTCTGCCGAGTGTCTCGGCTATCCTGTTCCGCCACAGAGAGATCCGTCTCTCTGCCGAGTGTCTCGGCTATCCTGTTTTGCCACAGGGAGATCCGTCTCTCTGCCGAGTGTCTCGGCTATCTGTCCCGGACCAAAGATCCCGCCCGTGCTTGCTCCACGCGGAAGGACCAAAGATCTCTTCTCGCGCAGCGAACCGATCGACAGCGTCAACAATACTTTTTCTTGCTCCGCGATATTGCGTCTCTAGCATAACTCCGTGCGCCACAAACTGATTTCTTTTATTTCTGTTTTTTGATCCCTGTTTAACTTCTCGCGGTAAATAACGTTGCGTGTCAAACATACTTCATTTCTGTTATGTCTGTCTTATGATTTCTGTTTAACGTCTCGCGATACACAATTTGACGTGTCGAACAAACTTCATTTCTTTTGTTCCACTAATGTAAATTGGATTGTTCAAGAATATAGTTTTTTTTGTTTGTTTTATCTAATTAAGTGTTTCTCTTATTCCTACCCTGCCCGGCGAGCTGAATTCCGCGCGAACAAAAAAAAATACGAAAATTTACAGTAATAAAAAATTGAGTATATATGCGTATATATGTTTTCCGTCCGTAATACATAAAAAAAATAATGTAAGCACTTGTACAAATATTAATAAAAAATATGAATTGTAAGAGTCATTTTAAAAACAAATACATAGAAAATGTATTAAAATGTAAATGAAAATAAAAATGTATTTTAGATGTAAGTTTTTTTGTACACTTAGTTGTAGAGAATAAGGTTAAGTTAGGTTAAGTAGTATTTGTAATACGTGTATATAACATTTAATGATTTTATTTTGTAAACATATTTGTATAAATAAATTATTTTTATTTTTACTAAAACGTAGTACAAGATATGAATAATATATTCGATTGAAACCGTTATGTTGTTTGTGTCTATACGTCGTGGTTTCTCTCACATGTTTACAATCGGCATTGACATTTGATTCTTCCTTTTCAAGGTTTGTGTGCGAACTATAGCGGCTTATACTATGTCTTATGTTAATTGTATGTATCTCTTATCTAAATTTAAATTGTTTTTATTTTTCTATTCAGTGTGGCTGATGATGATCGACAAATAAACGATCGAAACGTTCCACTGCATCTCTGCATTATTATTTTTATTACTACCACGACCTGTAGTCTCAAAGGCCGAGGAGGTCTTGTTTAATTATTTTGAATAAATAATATATAAAACTCAGAATATATAAAAAAAGAGTAACTTTTTTCCTATTTCCCATCATTATTTAAGATATTGTCAATGGAACGCTAATAAGCTTATTAGCGCGCGCGCGTTTGACAAGCTTATCTTTGCGCGCGAAATAAGCTCACCGCCGTTGCCGCAAGAAAAATTAGCTGATTGTCGCGGCAAAACGCGCTGAACCGCGACCACCGCGGGACCCCACGTGCGATGGTAAGCTCATCGTCGCAAACCAAAAACAATTTAATTTAAGAGTATTACGAGCGTCCATTTGCACAGTCTTCACAATGAACGTGCGCTGAAAACATCTCTGGACGTCGATTGTTTGCGGTCCTACGGGATGCAGGAAAATAACTATTGTAAAGACTTTTCTCCGTATTTGTCGAAAATGGCGAATATTTGATTCGGGAGAATTTTATTTTATTACGGCGAGTTGCAAGAAGCCTATCTCAAGTTGCAACGCGAGAAGACGAGAAAATGTAAAATCGAGTTTCGCGAAGGACTACCTGCTCGGAAGATTACTCGAACGACCCGCTCTGTGCGAAATTAATAATAATCGACGATCTTATGCGAGAATCGTCGTTGTGCGAATTGATCATTGATTTGTTTACCAAGGGAAGCCATCATAAAAATTTTTGCGTTATACTTATTTCACAGAATCTCTTTCATCAGGGACGCGATCAACGCAATATTTTGCTGAATGCAAATTACCTTGTGGTTTTCAAGAACTCGCGCGATCGCGCGCAAATTCGCCNTCTCGCGCGTCAAGTCTATCCCGACGACGCACAGTTTTTGGAAGAGGCGTACTATAACGCCACTTCGCGTTCTCACGGTCATTTACTGCTCGATTTGAAACAATCAACACCGGACGACTATCGTTTTCGAACGTGTATCTTTTCCAACAATCTGCGTCATTACGTATACATACCCCGCAGATCCCTCGCGTGAAAATAAGCGTATAAAAACCCGAGGCACACAAGTAAAGGGCATCATTCGAAGCTACGATGTCGTCGGCGACGAAGGAGCAGCAACAAAAAAAGCAACAAAGGGCGCATATTAAAGCTAAGCGCTTTCTCGGTGAAAAAAACATCTGTCTACTGAAGACTCTGTGTCTTCTAATTAAAAATCAACGCGCTGCTTTTCTGCGCAACGCTGATAACAAATTCATTGCGTGTATTCGCGAGTGCGTCCACAATACGCTCAGAGGTAACGTACCGCTCGAAAAAAGAGAGAAAAACCGCCTAATCCGATACAAAACGGCGCTGCAACGTATCGCGGAACAAAGAGGTACTTGGAGGTGCAAGAAAAAGCTGCTGGTGCAACAAGGAGGCTTTTTACTGTACATCATCAGGCTCATACTCGCAGCTTTATTATCTCAAATTATTGAGTAATCATGGAACGGGTTAAAAAAATGGTGCTGATTTCCACGGATAATCTCAAAAGAATGAAACAACAAATGGCGAGGGAAAAGACCGCTGCTAATACCATACGCACTACCGGAACCGTGCTCTCGTGTCTCGACGCGGAGATGAGACGTATTCTCAATTCCCCTGTTGATGAAGGTGAAAAATGGAAATTGTACAGCAAAGTACTTCGTCGATATCTATATTTTATCTGAAAAACGAGTAAGCGTTCTTGCAAAGAAGAAAATCTATCCGTGGCGAAAACAATTGCTGTGCCTTGTGGAGAGGGGAAAAAGAAGGAGAAGGACAAGGAAATGAGAAAACTATTTCACGTCGCGTATGAACTAATGGACGCTTTGCCTCAAACATCCTCTGTTTTACCAAAACATTATTCAACACCTTTGCGACACAATAATAATAATAATCGATATCAACAACTTAATCCTTCGACTCCTGGCCGAGGAGTTTTTTTTGCAATATAAATTTAATTTTAATTAGGGGGGTATTTGGGATTTCTCATATACAAGATGCAAGTATAGCATCCAATATGAATTTTAGAATTGTTATTTCAATTCGAATTTCACGTGTAAAAATTTACATGTGAACACGTATATATGGATATATATACACGTATAATTTCCGCACACCTAGCGAACGGCTCTCATGACCGAATATATATTTATCAGTTTAGAAACTTCAGAGCCTGAAAAGATTCTTTAATTGTTTAGGAATTTATTTGTAAGTCATATGTTTTTTCAATTTTTTTTTCAATACTTTTGTCACACACAACAATTATACTTAAATTTGTTTTGTATTAGTACACACTGAAGATGACTGTAAATACAGTTGAAACGTTTGGGGAAATCTAGTGTTTTTCTTTATCTATATGCAAAAAACATCCAGCAATTTGTTCAGATACGTCTAATCTAACATTTGGATTAATTTTTGGAGTTATTTTATTTTTGTCTATACAAATAATTATTTTGCGTTTTTTGACACGCGTCTTTTATTGGCTAACAGTAAGGCAATAGGAAGTGCGAAATGGGAATTGCTTATTTCGTTATTCCCGTCGTTTCTTCACCAAAAAATAGTTTACTCTCTACTCTTACAGCCTTACTATCTTCATTGTAGACTAGTCATAAGTCTACCGCTTTCGCTGACGCTGCTCTGCCGTTGAACTTTCGCTGACGCCGCTACCGCGCTGACTGCTTGGTTGCTGTTGTTGCGTGCCGCTGTGCTTTACTCGAAGCCCATCGAATTTCTTCTCGAACTGCTTTCTTTCTGCTCTGCACTGCTTTTTTGTGCTTGTGATTTCTGGATCGTCTGTCCGAGGACAGGACAGACGATCCTGTCGAGACAATGTTCAGGACGCTGCGCGAGCTCTTCTGAGCCACGTGTTTGTCCTCATTTTAACAGTTTCCAAAAACAG